GCATGCATCCAAATGGTTATGCAGTAATTAAGTTATACTACGTACAACCATTGCATGTAACGGCTAGGGTGGGATTCATATTTTTTTTCCTTACAACTAACCCTATAGTTTTATTTTATTTTCATGCAACTATCTTGTTATTACCGAAAACTCTCCCCGTCCCATAAAACCTTTCTCCTTTCTTTTTTCATCCGTCTCATAAAACACTTCTCATTTCTATTAAAAAGTCACTTTTACCTCTTATTTTTTCATACTCTACCTATCACATCATACCTTTTTACTAATAATCTACCTATCAAATCCTATTTTTACCTATCACATCAAATGACATTTTTAGAAATTCAATACCAAAATACACCCCCTTAAATCTCTTCAAAAAGCAAAACATCTCATGTTTCATGGACGGAGGGAGTAGAATAATTGAGTAATCGAAACAAACAAAAAATTTATAATTAATAATACCTCCGGAGTAATATTTTTTACTCTATAATTGTGTTATTTTGAACCATTTGAATGTTCAAGGAAATTTATTACTCTGAATTTTTTTGTTGTTTCTTTTTGTTTTTAAAAAACATAGCTATCTACCACTACAATGTGTATTAACTTCAATATTTTCTACTGCTATCATTTTTTATCATTTTTATAATTAATAATAATGTCATATAATAATGTTTTTTTAATTATTTAAACGTTAAAGATAAAATTTTGTTAGTTTGATATTTTTTATTATTTCTTATTGTGTTTGTAAAAGAAACTTGGAGACGCTACCTCCGAACTCTCGCCACATGCCCACACAATCTGCCTGAAAAGTTCTTGCATCTTTACTCTTGAAACCGCTCATTTGAGAGTTTGGGTCCGCCACCGGATTTAACGTGATTCACAAAGTTGATTTGTGCCCTACCTCTATATAAATAGGCACACAAGACAGGCTAGGCCCAATACAATAAATAAACCCTCGTTTCCTTATCTGGGTAGCGGAAAACAATACAGATTCAAGGCCTAACATATCTCTATATATTCTCTAATCTCTAATTCTCTACGAACTTTCTAACTTTTATTTTTTATAATCTTTAATTAGACAAATGCACGGGATCGAAGGAATATTTTTCCTTTTTGAGTTATATCGTTTTCACATAAGTCTCTAGCGGAGTAATTATTATATTGCTCACTCTGTCCAAAAAATCTTCTTCCAGTTTGACTTTTTCAAGCCAAACATGACCAATTTTAATCTTCAATTGTTCTCAATTTGTATTTCATATGAATATAATGAAATAAAATTTTGAAAGTTCTACACGAGTTAGATCTAAAAGAACCATTTTTATACTAATACACATTGTTATTTTTACTTAATTGAGCCTCAAAATTCATATAATTTGACTCAAAAAAGTCAAACTGGATGAATAGTATGGGACGGAGGTAGTACTATACACCTCGATGTATGGTATTTATCGAATATATGACATATATATGTGCACGTTCATAAGTTATACTCCCTCCGTCCGCCTAAGATGTTCTCATTTTGACTTTTGGTGGTTTTTAAGGAGAGTTGAAAAAAGGTGAAAGTTTACCATAATACCCTTAATGAAAAATGGGTGGAGTGTATTAAATGAGGTGGGTGGGGTGTAATAAATAAAGTAAGTGGGGGTAGTTGTGGTATTTTACTTGTTAAAAAATGAAATGAGAAGATCTATTGTGGACAAAGAAAAAGGGTTATTGGGAAGATCTATGGTGGACAGAGGGAGTATAATACTCATTTCATTCTTTTTCAATTCGACTTTCACATTGATTAAGAAAAGTACAAAAATAGAAAATTTTATTTTGAAATAACCAAAAAACAAAAATACGAAGTTAGAATTTTGTTTTAGGACGGAAAGAGTATTTCTTGGTACATATTATATATATATATATATATATACACACACACACACACACACACACACACACATATATATATAGAGAGAGAGGTTGGTTCAGGTAAGAATATAATTATTTTTGGAATATGAGAATAGTGCATTTTCAGACTGTTGTGTTGTAGTTTACACTTGTAGTGTTTTTTCAAAAAGTTCACTGGATTTACAAGACTGC